CAAGTTTATAACTGAAAGGTAGTGACTTCTTTTTTCGCCTTTTTGGTTCTCCCTTCCGCTTTTGTGTCTCATCGCTTCCGGTTTCCGTTCCTACAAGGAGTTTCTTCCAGTTTCTGTATCATGAAGTGACTAAGAGTATTAGGACTCCTCCCTGGATGAAATGCCAATCCATCTCAGGCTTTGTATCACTTGCAAATATTCCGCTTTCGCTGTACGTATGGTAAAAGAACTGTCTTCCGAAAACTGTGGTCGAAGTCGGTAGTTTTTTTGAACGGACCTAGGCGTCTTTTAAATTTAGTCTTGTAGCTATTTTAATGAATATTACATCGTATGTAGATAAATAGAGAGAGAAATGTTTTTAATTCTAATCCGTTTCTTTTTGAGGTGAAAAATCATGGGGCCAACCTCTGTTTCTTCCTTTTCAAGATTTTTTTGTCATTGTATCTTGAATGGAACATGTTATTTTATGTTATGTTGTGTTGTGTTACGTTACTTATGTTACGTTATGTTATTTGAAGATATGTTATGTTACGTTATGTTATGTTCTTAGGTCCTCAAAGGATGCCATTCCAAACGTTCTCACCCAAGAGCCCCTTGCAGAAGTCTTCCTGGCGAACATCATAGAATGGCCCAACCCATTAGGAGTACATAAAGATCTTCTGCACAAATATTTCGACGATTTCCTCCAAGAACCTGACAAGAAACAAGCTGTAAATTACACAGAAGCAAATTCTTTGGACACCCACCGTATACAGAGGGTTCAAAGCATTTACCAGACCCTCCACGCCGAGTTCATAGACGTGGGGTGTTTAAGGCATGTTCGCTCTGGGCCCTCCCCTGAGATGGTCCGTCTGATTTTGTGGTCTGGCTGTCTCCCGTATGTGTACCCAGACCACGAGCTTCCTATTTGCCTTCTAATGACAAATGTCAACATTTATTTGTTCCATTCGTCACACTTAGAATCACCTGAGCGTATCCACACGTTAGCAAGCTATAGTGATCTACGAGATGTCTTGCATTGTTTCTATAGCTTCCCAGTGCGGGAACTAAATGAAGTGGTCTTCGGTTTGTACGATCAAGGCTTCAGACTGGAAGTAAAACTCGATGGGCCTCGAGGCACATTTACCGTTATCACTCGCGACGCCGAGAAAACGGACAAATTTTTAGGAACATTGAGAGATGTGCTCGGGGAGCCCTTGAATGAGGAGCATTCTGATGTTCCTCCGTTTAGGAGACAATTTTCATCCGAGAGTCTTCCAAAACTCACTTTTCCGACCGAGGACAAAATTGACAAATTAAAACTAGAACTTGCAAAATTCGGCAAGGCTTCTTCCGCCGCTGAAAACCAGCATTTGCTAATGTACTCTATCGTCCGAGAAATTCCCGACTGTGCCTCGCTGAATGTGCAGGAAAACGTAGATCTCACGAAGATGCTCCGAAGCTTGATCGTGACAAACTCGGAGATCTATCTATGCGACGAGGATCATGTGCATTGGCCGCTGCCTTCGTTCGTGCGGGCACCGCCGTCTACCCCTCAGTGGGTGGTTACTAAGGCACAACGGATCAGTAAGATCGTCGGGCTTGAAGTGTTTGAACTTAAGGGTAATGTTTGCGAATTTTTCGGCGAGTTTGGGCTCTCGCTGATCTTCGACTGTGATGAATCGGCGGCACAGTCTCCGGGCGAACAACATTCGTGGCACTTAATTTTCCGAGCCGCCGATGAACGCACGCAGCTTCAACGGTCGCTGTCACAGGTATGGAAGGACAACTTTCAAGCCGATCTTAAAATCACGCACTCAAAGCCTAAGTCTTTCCCAGTCCTTCTAGAGAAAAAGGATGGAAAAGGGCTCCTTGAGCCCACTTCTCCGAATGGTGTACAAACACCCGTAGGTACCCCGGTGGAGTCGAAATTTAAAAAGACCCATCGGAGGGTGGGGTCTGATTTTTTACCAATTTTCAAACCAAACATGTTGAATAGCTTGGAGAGCTTAGTCGCCCTCGATAGAAAAATCTTGGACGGTTTTTTTCATAAATGGATTTCGCAGAAAGAGGAAAACGAAAGTGAAACACTTCTCCATGTTTTATGGACTGGCTGCACGCCGTATCTGTTTCCGTCCCTTGAATTCAAAGTTTGCATACTGTTAAGCAATTTGTATTTGTACATTTTGGCGGATAAAGAACACAAAATCTCCATCAACAAACAAAAAGGAATCAAGTTGAAGATTTCAGAAGATACCGACTTCAGTGATGTTAAACCGACGATCTGTTTTAATTTCATCCCGATCACCCAACTCAGGCAGGTTTGCGTGGGTTTGTTTGATCAAACATTGAGAATCGAAACAGAGTCGCGGAAGGACACGTTTACTTTAGTTACACGAGATTTCAAATTGACGAGTACTTTTTTAGAGAGACTAGGCGCGATTTTGTCGTCAATACATCGTGGTGATTCATCGCCTGCGTCGAGATCTGACACGATGCCGACGAGCATCTACGACTCGCAGTCAACTGATAATGATCCGAACGCTTTCCCGAGAGCAGATTATCAACACACGAACGGTGGTGTGCGCTTCGTGTATCCGAGCGATGACACGTTGGATATTCTGAAGGATGCCATCGCTGAGTTCAGCCGCCAGTCAGTTCATTGCCTCGAACTCAACCATGTGGTCATTTTGGTGTATCTCTTGGTCTTCCACGAGACAGAAACGGCTCGCGAAGAACCCCGCACTCTCGTTATCATGGATAAGTCTCTATGCCTTTGCATCGAAGATCATGTTAACTACCCGCTGCCGTTATTCGCCACGGGACTTCCCGAGAACCCGCAATACAATGTGCAAGACTTGCGTGACATCCAGTCACTGTCACGTGTTGAATTCAGTGACTTCAACTCGTGCGACTTTACAATGGTTTTCTCGCCGACGCGACCTCAAGACGATGATGCACCAGATGGCTTTGATTCAGCGAGTATGGGTGAGTTGTGTGTCATTACACATCACTTGCCAGATCCAGCTGAACGCGATATTTACTGGAAAATTGTTGCTCAGACTTACGAGGAAAAAGAGAAAGCTATGAGTCTGATCTGCAAGCTCTGGGCTGACATTCATGGCGGAGCTCTACCTGTTATGAAAGCTAAAGGGTAGGAATTAAAATGCCACAAAATTAAACGCAGCTTAACGGTTTCAAACAGAAATGGAAGAGGCAGCTGCTCTTAAATACTGAGAAAGTGACATAAATTGGGACAATGAAACAATTTCCGTTCAACACATTCAATCGATGCAAACCAGAGTGGAAAGTTTGGGAATCAGAAGGACAATTCTTCATTTGCCGTGGTTAAGAAATCACTTTCATGTGCCAAGTATTTTCAAATTTTTCCCTCGTTGAACGAGCGAAAAACCGGCCATGATACGAATAGAGAGATCAAAAACTGTATTGTTTGACACCGAGGTGGCGCAATAGACAACGAATGACACTGTTAACCATACTAGCAATGTATATAGTTTTTTTATCTCGTTGATAAGCTGCGAAACATGGCGCTATTTTAAACAGAATGTTTCAAAACTTTTGCAATTGAGATACAGGTAGATCAGTTCCCATACTCGAATTTGCTACTATTGTAAGGGTCTGTTATATTATCTGTGGATGTACTTTTGGAAATAAGAGAGGTGTATAGAATTATATTTATCTGTATTTGTTACCAAAGCACATTTATATTATCCATAGTTTTGTATGTTTATTGCTATCAATTCAAATTACATCTGATGAAATAGAGAACTTTTAGTATGATAAAAAAGAAAAAATTGTAAACATATTTTTGATTTGTCTCAGATAAATGGTTAATAGTTATCGTGTTCACTCATAATGCACGGGAAATGTTGGATTAACTGTCGTGGAAGCAAAATATCACAACAACCTATCAGAACAAATGTAAATAATATCACACGATCGCTCAAAATGAAATTCTGGCATCTGTCTGTGTTAAGGGCGGGCAAAGTCATTATGTGGGCGAAACATCTCGGGCTCGATGCATCAGACCTTGGACAGGTTGGAAGAAAACCAGACGAGAACATCGTCGGTCATGTACGAGTATCATGTCTTATTAGCCTGACGGAACTGAATGTTCACTCCGAACTTTGCGGAAGTCATACAAACGGAGGACAACACCATCGAGATGAAGGTACAGGAGGCTGTAAAGATCCAGGTGAGAAGTCGTCCTCTTAAAAAGACGAGTGGCCTGAGCTTCCAAGATATACGAAACCGTAACCACTTACTTAAAGGGACTGATGAAGGTTGATCGATTTGAAGAAAACCAGATCGTCGCTCACATGTGAACATTCCGTCTCATCAGCCGAATGGAACTGAATGTTCAGGGACTGATGAAGGCTGATCGATTTAAGACGAAGTATTTCCTTAAAAAAAATAAGTACGTTCCAGGCACGGTGTGTTTTCAGAACGTGGAATGAACATTTTTGTTTCCAATTACACTAGTTGTTCGCTCTCGATTTCTATGCGCGATAGTCGATTCGTGCTTCGCCCTCCTCGGCCATCATGCGATAAAGATCTCGAGCTCACAATCTTCTGGGTAAATGTTAGGTTTCTAGTCGATTGCTTAAGTTTTTACCTTTATACAAGACGTGGTATGTCTAAATGTTTTATGGGGAATTTTCTTTATCTGCCTCAGCTGGCAAACTGAGACACACCTCAAAAGTTTTGCGCAGAATTTTAAGGGAATACTTAAACAGCCCCTGTCAAGCCAAATGTGCGAGATAATACGTTATGAAAATTCATAGAAGGAAAAAAATGTAGAGAGAAGAAAAACCGAAAACTATTTGTACTCAAAGCTTATTTAATCATGGTTTTCCGATTAGGTTGTCTATAACACAAACTGGATGAATGCAACCCAGCCTTTACAAGACTCGCACGTGCGCAGACGTTTGACCGCCGTTCGACTTTATCTATGTTCATCTCAGGCTTAATCAGTTAAAAATCTAGCCGATAACAAGAACTTAGCAATAACAAGCTGCTTATTCATTTAATGTTTTAAACGATATACGTTGTACACTTTCATTTAATATAAAACAACATTATTTGGCTAAAACCCAAACATCGCACCGGGCTATATCATCATTCAAAAGTTTCTTTTTAAACAAACTGTGTGCTAAAGCACACATCAATTAATTGTTATTTCTTAAATGTTTTCATAAAACTATCACAGATTAATTCTTATATTACATCCTATGACAATTTGTGCGGTTCATTCCTACTGAACCTTAGATTATTAGCAAACAAGTGGATTTGAATTAACACTATATCGGAATATATAGATCATGAATGGTTCTCAGTAGTACCTTTAGGTGAAACCCTTGAAAGTGCACCAATGTTTTTTGAACTTTTATTTCTTAGGTGGGTTCATTAGCCACCCATTTCAGACGTATTAATGATGATTAGTAAGTAGACCCCTGAATAAACTCTAAATTTGGCGCAATCCCGAGATGATGTGAATTTTTAGGAAACCAGAAGTAATGGAAACTTGAGACATCGTCCCTACACGTGCCTGCTTGTTAAAGCGCAATAATTCGCCTCTTTCCATTGGTTTATTCACTACAATCCTCGTCCAGTTACCAAATCCCTGTTATTCATCGAACAATATTTGGCACATCTTTAGTTTTCTTCCCATCTCGTTCCAGTGTCACTTTTCTATCCACTTCCTCTTGTGAAATAAAGGCAGAAAGAGATAGAGAGCTTAGGAACGAATATGCCGTCTCATAAACACTTCCCGATAGTTTTAATATTTACCTATAGCTTGGTAACTGAAACGAAATTCTGCGCTCTGGTAAACGGGTGTCAGGGTGCACGTGGGATGGTAATAAATTCATTAGGACGTTAGAAATTTAGGATTCACCTAAGCTGTTGCAGAGCATTTTACATTTGCGTTCTCCACATCAGAAAGGAGCTTTGTTAGATGAAGAACATTTAAATTAATCAGCATCTTATTGTATCATGTCAATATGGCATTCATTCAGAATCAACGTAATTTAAAATAAATATTCAAATATTTAGTTCTACGTGGTAAACGTCGCTGCACTGGAAATCCTTCTCGTGGTTAATTTACGAAGTTGTTCTCGTTGGCGCTTTCCAAAAAACTGACAACCGAAGTTCAGTTGTTCAGGAAAACGTGGTACGAATTCTCTGTCCTCCTTCCTTGATTTGAAATAATATTGTTCCCTGACTCTAAAAAGTTGTTCACATTAACAAAGCTCAGGGCTCAAAACCAGTTATTCCGTCTAAGTCTGTTCAAGAGACGAGTTAAACTTTCTATCTGAAGTTTGTAGAACTAAGTAATCACTTGCTCTCATTAAATGAACATCTCGTCTTATTCGTGGGGTTTTATGGTAGTTTCTCCCGAAGAGATTGACGCAGCAATCCTTTTTTAGCAACTCTGGATCTCGATGACTGCTATCTGGCTTGTAACCAATGAAAGCTAATGATGAATAGCAATTGTGAACACAGAAGTAAAGTCCCTGGACTATCAGTGAAACTTCCCGTCGACTTTGTCCTTCTTGCCTTTAGATTTTCTGCAAGGAAGGAAATCATATTTTTATTTTAAGTCGCTATGGAATCCAGTCTCTTTGCTGCGAAAAATTTAAGCATCCACCAAGTGAGTAATTAAGCCAGTCGGTCGGTCGGTTGTATAAGTCGCTTAGTTTGCCTCAGTGTCTGTCAGTCAGACAGTCAGTTCATAAGTCAGTTGGTCAGTTTGTCAGTCAGACAGTCAGTCGATAAGTCAGTTGGTCAGTTTGCCAGTCAGTCAATCAGTCAGCGATCAGTCAGTCAGTCAGTCAGTCAGTTCCTTAGTCAATCAATCAATCAATCAGTTGAGCTTTAGAAACTCTATGGTGGCCAATTGACAATATCAATTACGATGATAGGGAAACTCATTGACCATAAAAATAAAATTTTCTCCTCTCTCGTGACTTGTTTGTCTAAATAGCCTTTCACACCAACCATTACAAACACAATTGAGACAAACTCGAATGAAATAAAAAAGAAAAATTTAATCACACTTCCAAAACATTTCCTGCATTTTACGTTTTCAGTCAGGCGTTTCGATGGGATCTGGGTTCTGCGATGCGTTTTCGTATAGGAATTTTCGGTTACTTCGAGGAACGGAACAGTGAGTAGCTCACTTTTGCTTCAACCCATAGCTACCGTTTTACACATTATATGAGACTTCTGTTTTGTACGAAACGTGAGTTATCATTTTATCATCTCTTCAGACCAAATAACATGATCACTTTCATTTCTTACTTTTTCCTGCTGTGACCTCCTGTGATCTCGGACCCAGTATGTAGTGTCCACCATGTACTATTTTAAAAGCTGCCAACTGAAAATGATAGATGTGTCCTTTCTCCAGATCAAAGGCGATTTCTTTTCTTCTTCTTTCTTTTGCAACGTCGACAGTATGTATATCCCTTCGAGAACTCCAGTAAAAAATCTGAGGGAAATATCGACAGAAACCATGATTGAGGCTGATCGACATGCAACCTTACTCCTGAAAGAATTTTTCTTTTAAAGTATTAGATTTACACTTTCTCTACCAAGATCTTAATAGGAACTCATTAGTACGTCTCCTTACTGTGCTCCATTCAATTATTATGATGTTAATTTAAAGAATTTGGTATTAGATCATCTAATACCCCCTAATTGATATTTTTCGTTATTCTTATCACTTATTTGCGTGATTTTGTATCATGAAATAATTCAAATAGTACGCGCGCTCTGATTGGCCATAAAACCATTTTACATGAGCGTATGCAAACACGGTTTTCGTTCCTCTTTCATTAGTTATTTTATAAAAGAAATGTAAAATGGTTTCCGTGTTTACATAGCCTGATGTAAACACGCGGGAGGTTGGGAGAACACTCGATAAGCTGGAAACCACTCCGCTTTGCGTCGTGGTTTCCTACGCTTATCTCGTGTTCTCCCAACCTCCCGCGTGTTTACATCAGGCTATGTAAACACGGAAACCATTTTACATTTCTTCATTGGTACCGTAAGGAGAAAATCTGTTTTGGTCGCTAATGCGGGTTAAAGGGTTAATACATTTATGCTTGTGCTTTGCTTACCCGGAATCCTTCTATGTCTTGCAGGGAACTTCTCCAGTTCAAAACTACCTCGTTGTTTTGGTTGTCAAAATTTGCTGTCACATTTTGGGGAGATATTTTAGGTGCTGAAGGGAAAAAAAGTTGTGATATAGAAATATGCTACTTCTGTTATATACACATGCCGGGTAATAATTCTCATTCTAAGAATGCTGAAATATTTTTGAAAGGGCATTCTGCGAAAAAATGTTGGAGTTCTGAAACTTTTTATTAAAGTGATATGTTTTTTTTTTGCTGCAAGGATTGATGTACTAATGAGTGTCAACGTGGCGTAGCATTTGTAATGTTCAGTAATAACTACCCTTAAGAAATCAGGAAAGAAATTAATGGTAAATTACTTCACAAGCTTTACTTTCATTTTAGACTTTAAGGACGGGGGGTTGGGGGTGGAAGGGGAGGGGAGGGAGGCAGGAAACCTGTGACCCTGGAAAACCCCCAAATGTCGAAGATCCTTGGTGTTGGACCTTCTAACTGGTACTCTGTATATTTGGTTAATGTGCCTTTTTAGAAACAAATGGTATTTTCAACATTGGATTTTTTTTAGTTAAAGATAAGAATTGGTTTGTCTGGTCATTTATTGGTCAAAGGTATTACTAACCTGTTGTGAGATCAAATTCTACAACCAGCGGTGGACCTGCCCCGATTCTGTTGATTGCCAGAACTGAGAATCTGTACCTCGCCTGCAGGTTGAGCAGGGGGAGTCTCATTCGTGGGTTACTGTTGTTTGTCTTTCCGCTCATTGTCATTTCTGTTACTGGTACTTTCTCTATCGTCACCCGGTAGTCAGAGATGATGCCATTAGCTCTTTCAGGTGGGCTCCACTGAAGTATTATGAAGCTTTGGTTGTGGATGTTGAGGGACAGCCCTCGCGGTGAATCTGGTACTGGAAACAACATGAAAACAACGTAAGGTGTTGCCAAACACTACTTGTAGTAAGTAATGAAACAAGTTCACGTAAATAGTTTTATCATTTTGATCCACCCTTGTTCAACATTAGATTTAAAAGGTATGAGTTTAAGTGTTTAAAAGTTAAAATCATGGTAACTCAGAGATTCATACAAGAACTGAGATGTCAAGGAAAAAAAAGACCAGAATTTATTTAGCTCAGTAGGCATGTTTAGTAAATAGATGCATGCATACTTCTAGACGCAACAAGTGTGCAGACTCTAAAAGCTATTGTGCTAAAGGAAAATTAAACACTGCTATTGTATAAACTGCTACTGCTAAATAACAATTCTCGTCTTTGCAAGGACGATGTACGAGAACAGAGAATCAAGAATTAAGAATCAAGGTGATAAACAGTCATTTGTAAACAAAGGAAAGGGATTAATGTGTACTAACAACTTTCTGGACAAAGAAACCTTTGTCCATTTTCCTGGCTGCATGATCCAGTATAATTATTGGTGCCATTTAATTCTGTGCAAGTGTGAATATACAACTTTAATTCAGTGGGTGAAAAATTATTGAAAAAAAAAAAAAAAAAAAAAAAAAAACCAAAGCAGAACAAAGAAATAATTGACTAAAAACTCAAAATTAAGATATCTCCGGGTTCTTGGTGGCATTTGAAACTTTTTTCATATTCTAGCTTGTTCTATCTGGAATTACTTTCTTTACTTTGATGTAGTAAGTTATCAGCGTATGCTTTAGCTTGAGATGATCAATACCAAGGACTTACTTGATTCAGGTGTTGTCAAAGGACCTATGACATTACTCGCTGGTCCATCACCCATTCTGTTGTAAGCAACGACTTGAAATCTGTACGATGTGTAAGGCTGCAGATGTAAACTGACAGACGTTTCACTAGTTGACTCGACCTCAGCTTGGTAGGGAGTCTGACCGCTCGGCGCTTTCCAGAAATACACCTGAAATGAAAAGGAAAAAAAATTGGGTACCAAATTGCCAATAAAAGTCATTTGCACTTGCATTTATTCCTTGAATAACTGTTTCTTGAATTGGTGCAGATTTTTATCTAAATACAGGGATGGTTTTTAAGTCAAAGTTTATCGTGAAGCATTGTTATAACCTTCTCAGGAGTTGTTTCTAAATCGAGTATTATAAACCTAGTTTGTGATAGCTGATGGTAAGTTTTGGTAAGATGCTATTGGCTGCAAGGCTCGAATGGTGTAAGTCGGTCTCGATTAGGTCGTTCTGTTCGGTTCGTTTGTATTGTGCATGTCTTGTGTAGGTCGTTTGTGTGGTATCGATAGTTGTTGAAATCTATTGGGAGGAGTCTCTTCTTAGTCAGTCAGTAAAACAAACTTTCGATTAAGTTCCGACATATATTCAAATCGTTACTATGCCAAAACGTTGCTAGATGTTACGCATGACCAGAATAAATATCGGATGAAAACACCATCAACAGCATGATGAAGGACATGTTGCTTGGGTGATAAAGTGAACACGTAACTCTACGACAACTCGGTGCCAGCATTGAAACCTTGGTGTTGGCTAGCATACATTTGTTGTGAACAGGAGACCATTGTTAGCTGACGCGTTTTAACATTTGGCAACAGTATTATCACCGAAGAAGTTACATGTCACCAGAAAGGTAGCAACACATGACAAATGTGCTACATTTACCAAAAAATAGTTTCATCTTTTCATTTGTTTGCTTAAGCTTGCCACGACAAACAAAACAAAATGAATTGAAAAAGACAAATAGAACATAAAATCAATTTAAAATGAAAAAAAAGATGGGTAAATGTACTTACCTTGTACCCTAACAATTTGCCACGGGCTGTCTCTCTCTTATCAGGGACACCCGTCCATGTTGCATAAGCTGAATTTGGAGATGTAATACGGACATCAAGATCCCTGGGGGCTCCCACCGGCACTGTAGCATCGAAATAAAATGCATCAGAAATTCAGTATGATTTAGTATCTGATTGGTTAATCAACACTCATTTAGATTGGTTCTTACATATGATCTGATGGAAGACAGACGCGTAGATGACGCCACCATTAGAAACGTTCTCTTTTTTTAATATAAAACAAATAGATTCCGTGTTACCGTACGACTGTTCAGTCGACTGATAACAAAAAAGTCTAAAGGTGGTGACATTTGTTACGGCATTTGTATAACGGTGTTTAGACAACGTCACAAATACTTCAGACAATTATGCTGTAAAATGACTGCACCTTGTTCCCCAGAAAAAGCAATGACATCCGGACTTTTAGGTCCAAAGCCAATGCTGTTTGCTGCTTGTATTTGGATCGTGTACTTCACGTAGTAATCAGTGCCAGTGATGAAGAAGGTGGAGCCATTTCTGACCTCATCTCTTGTCGGCTGCCCTTTGCGGTCCGTTCGCTTGTGATAAACAATGTAGTAGAAACCTGGTCCATTGTGGTGTATGGGTGGAATGGGTTGCCACGTGATCTTTAGGGTAGATGCGTCAATCCCCTCACCCTTCAAGTCAAGAGGATACTTTGTAGGTGCTGTGAATGACGAGTAGAACGTCCAAAGTTATAAAACAGAGGCCTTCGGAATAGGAGTACTTATTGTTTTGCGTTGATCACCAGATGTGATTGTCATGAGCAGTGTAGATGTTTTATATTAATGATTACATATCTAAACTACACGTTAGTTCCGCTGCCTTGCCCAAGAACACAACACAGCAGATTATTTCTGAGTCGAAAACCCCTCACTCTTAAAATAAGATCAAGTGCAATACCATTCTTATGAAAAAGAGTTAATAATATGTTTCAACGAGATTGAAAAGTCATTTTTTTTTATCAAAAGCCTTGCACGTCAAAACTGCCTTCAACCGTGCGGTCGAAACAGACCCTTTGCTTACATCGAAAGTGGCCTGAATTACCAGACCAGGACTGGAATCCGGACTTCTCCATCTAGAGTCCTGCGCTTCAAACACAGGGTGACCATAATTCTCACGTGACGTGATCATCCTTACATTGAAAAAAAGCTAGGAGCGTCAACCCACCTGCTGATGGTGCCTGGAAGCTACTGGACGGAGCGCTGGCGTTGCTTTTACCGACGTCATTGACAGCAACGACTCGGAAAGTATATCTTACATGTGGAGACAATGCAATCTGTACCCATCCTTTCTGAGGTTCAGATCCGTTAGAAATGACTTTCCATGTCGTAGGAGCAAATTGTGTCGTGTGCTCGATTATCACTTTCTTTATTGGACTGCCGTTCGCTTTTCCGAGGATCCATGTGACGTTGACGTGTTCGCCTTCAGCGTGTCCTTGACTGATGGTTACATCTGTCGGTGGATTAGGAGGACCTTAAAATACAGACATATTTGGTTACTGACCAGAGAAGGGAGGGAAACGGATCATTGAATATTTCATCACACTAATTATGAACACATTTTTACCACGTTTTCCTTCCCGTTGACAAGTTGTTTCGAAAAAACTTAGACCCACACACTTGCGGTTCGTGTGCCACTGTTTCTGTTGAAAACTACAATTACAGTGTAAATCTACAGAAACGTCTCTATTTACCTTTGACTTTCAAGAAGACCTCCTTGCGGGCGATCAGTTTATTGTTATTGCCCCTTATTTCGCAGGAGTAAAGCCCTGCATCGCCGTATCGAACTTTAGTGATCTTCAAGTATCCTCTCTGATCACTTGTTGATGACATACTGTTACTGATATCTGTTCTTGTTTTTCTCACACGCGAACTCGACACAATTTCATGGGTAAAAAATTTTAACCACTTGAAGGTAACCTCTATTTTGCCAACTGATCTAACACCGCACATAAATCTGATGTCTTTCCCAAGGACAGCCGTCAACGTTTCATCCATGTTTTTAGTTTCGACGATGTATTCTAGGATGGAAAGGAGATTTGCTCAAATATTGATGTCACGAGTACGAAGGGATTCAGGCTAATTTAGAGTGTTGCCTCCACACTCTTAAATCGGAATTCCTAGTGTTTGAGGAGACTAACCCTCCTCAGTAGGTAACCTTCAAAATTTTGTGCCAACTTTCCCACTAAATTTCGCTGGCCAAGTAGGATCCTTTCGCTAGGTCAAAACGTTTTCATTTGATTTTTTTAATTCGTTGAAAATTGTCATCAAATAAAAGAAAATATACAAATATCAGTTAGTTGATCAAGGCTGACTAAGGATGGGGAAGATTGCCACAGATTGCAAGTCACGATTGTTTGGAATTCAGGGCCAAATTTGTGATGCTGTACAAACTAGACAAACTAAGGCAAAGTGAAGCTATAGCATACCAACAACATTGACGAATCCCGTTCTGGAGGCTTTACCCAGTGTGTTGGAAGCTTCGCATATGTACTCCCCAGAATCAGATTTGGTAACGTTAGTGATCCTTAAGTTTCCGTTTGACGAAATACGAAACCTTCCTTTGCTTTGTAGATAAGCGGCGCCAAATCGCCAGCGTACGACGGGCTTAGGTTCACCAGTTGGGTTACATATTATTTCCACACTTGAATGCATGAGGGCACTTTGGGTCAGCTGTGGAGCTTTACTCCCCAGGCCAAAGCCGGCGGGAATTGCTAATTTGGTAGAAAGAATACTGTTTAATAATAAGTGACTCAAAATGGTGACGCAAAGGTAAACTCTAAGGGTCATTACTGTTGGAACAATCTCGGCTTTTGAAGCGACTAGAAGTATTGCTTTCTTTCGTGGACTGGTACCACCCTTCCCTAGCTTTCCCCTTCCCATCCCCCCCCCTCCTTAGCTATTCATAAAGTTTCCACGATAATTCTTGTGAACTTGGTAGTTTACTCAGGGATGGGGGGGGAGGCACTGTGAAATGAGTGTCCAATCAAATAACTGAACGTTGATGTATTCTTTGATTCATCGACGATATAATATATATGTTATTACCTGATACAGTCAGCTTGATATCAGCATGTAGTTGGCCATGTTTGTTGTCGACGAAACACTGATATATCCCATTATCGTGAGGCTTCAAGTCTTTGATAGTCAAATTTCCCAGTGAAAATTCATGCCTGTTTTTCGGTACAATCAGCTTGCCGTTTCGATACCATGTGTATCTTATGCCCGGTATACCAAAAGCAATACAGGGCAGAGTGACTGTGCTGTTAGAGACTGATGTAATGTCTTTTGGCTTTATTATCCACTCTGGTTTAGCTGCAAAAGAAGCAAAATTGCAAATTTTCGTTCTCTATCGGATTTATAATGTTTAAGGCACGTTTCGGTACTTGAATTTGGAGGAGTACATCATTGATGCTGCTGATGATTAATTATCCCCGGGCTAGTGTAGGCGACATGATGCGTTGCCGTCTTGGACCGCTTTGGGATGGAATGTAGGTCCATCGTAGGCTTACATTTTTCATTTAGTTTTGTGCTCATTACTCTTACCCTCGTATGTCACTGGTCAAGGTTGTTTAAAAGTTGATGTCGTAAATAGGAAGCTTTATTTTTAGTTCGTGAACTCGTTTCCATGGTGAAGGGAGAACACCTTAAACTCCCACGAGGAAAAGAAATTGAATTACTCTAACCTGGAAAATCGAGTGTAATTTAGTTTTTATCAAATGAGTTGATGACGTGAATTGGCCACGGTAAAGAGTTTTAAAACTATCGTTTCGAGCGTAAGCCCTTCGTGAGAGCGAGGGCTAAGGCTCGAAATGTCACCTTTAAAACTCTCTTCAGTGGCCAATTTACGATATCAACTCAGTTGATAATGCTAAATTACCCTTTTAAACTCTCCCACTGACGCGGCACCACAGTTTCTTTAGAAACTTACCCCTTTATTCACCTGGAAAATCTAGTTTTGTAAATTTACTTCGACAATACGCAGCACATTGCAACTGTATGTTGTGATATAGTTATACCTTCCATCTTTATCACGGTTGTTTTGGTGTCTGACTGTCCTGCCTTATCGCTGGCTCTGCATCTATACTTCCCAGCGTCGTCACGACCAAAACTGTTGATCACTAGTCTGTTAACGTTTCCTGTCGTATTCCCAAGTGCAGTGTGAATCCCTTTTTTCTTCATGACGATTTTCGGAACTGGTCTGAGTGAAAGATTTATAATGTTGAGCTTTATCGATGAACAACTGAAGAGACTGTAAACTATTTTTGCAACGTCACGTTGCCTGAAACCCGGCGAGACCTTGCCAACCCGTTTACGGCAATTTATGGACTAAACCACAACTTATTAACCTATCATACCGCTATATCTAAGGTTCTCTTACTGTTTCTGCAAGTACCACTGCTGTTACAAGAAATGCGTTTTTTTTCTACTACCACCGCTGCTATTGTTGTCACTGCCACGGTAGTTACTACCTCTCTAGTAATCCGGCAAATGGTGCTGATACTACCGACTCTTTGTCTGCCGCTTCTTTTACAACTGATGTTACCGAAGGTGGCACTGTTACCTATTTATCTGTTTCCATAGCTGCCACGGCGTAGTATACCTCTGCCGTTGCCCCCCTACCTATTTCTTCTGTTGCCACTTCTTCAATTGTGAAAGGTTCTATGACTAAGGCTTTCATTTTATGCTGTAAAGATGTATGTTCTAACTGCACTTACTTTCCGTAAACAATGCACTCCAAGACAAATTTCTCTCCTTTCAAGGCTATCTTTGGGCTGCTAAAGTCGTCGGCAACTCTAGGTGGCTTGTTAAACTGATTTGTTGCTGTTATGAAGGAAAAGGGCAGTACAACGATAATGATTTTAATGAAATCTGCTCACTATACAAGACGCAACTCGAGCAGCCCTTTTAAGATGGTTAATCGTGTAGAACCTGACACTTGAAAATAATTGGGGGATAAACTATTTTGCCATGTCGGTCAGATTGTCTTAGATTTTAAGTGATACCCAATGGTTTCAATTGAAAAAAGAGAGCCCTACAAATTGTTTTCCTAGGACGTGAAAGGTGAAATATCAAAGAAAATGTTTCCTTCTTTAATGTTCTTACCTGGTGTTACGAACAGAGAAACTTGTCTCTCCACACTCTTTCTCTCGCTTAGTATGAAGAGGTTTGTTACAGTGCAGATATAGACGCCAGAATCTGATCTTTTCAAAAATGCAAAGTGCAAGTCCTTGGTTTCGCTGATTGTCAGATGCGATGACGATCTCACTGGCTGTTTTTCCCCATTTATCTCCTTTGACCACTGGACGGTACGATGTGGAAAAGAGTCAGGAGCCATACACTTTATGGAGAGGAAGTCCCCTTCTTCCATGGAGACCATCTTGTCGCGGGTAGTGAATGAATCAAGATCTGATAAGGAAGGAGATTGGTTACATCAACTATCAGGAAGTGGGAGAGGAGCAGCATGGAATTCAGCATGGGGCTGTGGCTCTTATTTCATCGTCCACACTAAATAAGTAAAACCTTCATCGAGAGGTGACCCTTGACACGAAGGAAAGTGTTCCACGGAGGCACACTTCCCTTCAATCACGGTCACAGTTACAAATATTAAGAGCATCTTATCAGGCGGGACCAAAATTTGTGTCCTTTCTTTGAACATTGGTGTCCCTAGAGTAGAGGTTTCATCATGGATGAGATAAGGTCTCATCCATGCATACACTGACTGGTAAATAGCGCCGTGTTCAGAATGCTCGTTGGTACAGCATTTAGGCTATAATTTCCTCGATGCAATGAACTTCATTACATTAAAGTACCCCCACACTCCTTAAAACAAGTATTCGCTTTGAAATATAAAGTACATGGACTTGGTACAGAGGCGTGCCAAATGGTGAAACCCCCGCATATCATGAAAGAGTTGTTCGATAAGTTTAATATCCTGAGTTTGGCCTTCTCAGAGTGGTTAGGCAGTGCCTTGAGAGTAAATCCTGAAGTACTTACATGCAAATTTAACGGTAGCTGTTCTGCTACGAACCGCTCTATTTCCGCTGGACACCAGGCAGTAATAGGACCCTTCATCTCTCTCTTTGACTGCATTCTTTACATAAAGAGACCCGTCACCTGTTACCGTGAAGTCCTGATTACGGATGTCTACTGGTCTTCCCTTGAAAAACCAAGCCACTGACGAATCTACAGACTTGATGCAGAGGATTGTGAACGCTTGTGGCCCTGTTGTGCTTGGTGCTACTGTCACGTCTTCAGGCTCACCCAGAATCGCTGGCCCGAAGCTAACGGCTGTTGGTAAATGGTACAAGTAGGATAAGTTTTACCAGTTCACTGCCCCCATTACAATCGAAGGTATAATCCCAATTTCATTGGCATGAAGGGATTTGGAATCTCACTATCGGAGCTAATCTCAATTTCAGCAATTTGGAACCTTATTACATTATCAAAGTGAACATTCAGGAATTTTATCAAACTTCCCACTTAGTGTGCGACTGTTTCCTTGCCCAAGAATACAACTAAATGCCCCAGTTGGACAGGGCTCCACAGTAGAACCCGATCGCAGTTGGCCGTTTGACAATCATGTCTCTCCCACAAAAAAAGAAAAATAGTACAGAAGCTAGTCCAACTGGTGTTCTCTGGTGAGGATCGACGGCTATATATCCTTTCCTATCTCTTTCAATTCTAGCCGTATGAATTAGATGAAACGTACCAAAGTCTAGAGGAAGATCCTCTTCTCGGAACCTGTTCACTGCATCAATGCTGAGGTACGTACGCCCTAGCAAAAGTTTGAAACTTACCGACTTGGACTAGAAGTAGCAACAGAAGAACCGTGATGACAAATGCATTACTCCCCCGGCTGATGTTCATTGTGTAGTTGATTCATACCTGAATGAACAAGGAAGGAAAGCGTTTAATCGACAAAGATAAAAAATTTTGAAGCTCTGTGCTTTTCCTTAGATGCAATGCACGTTCGTGGAAACCAACCGTAGAACATTAGCTCGAAATTCTCATCCTAACATTTTACTTTTCTTTTTAACCAGGTGCTTTAGATTCCCTATATGCATGGCGCTATTGTATGTCAATCACTTAAACGTCTCTTACCAACTCAGATTTTTTCAGAAAAACCGAAAGCTACTGACAAAGAAACAAATTGAAAAGCTGACTTTATACTCGTTGTAGACTAAGAAGACCTCGGTAAATATTTCAGTGGAATGTAAAGGTTTTGAAATTTCTCGCATATAATTGCGAACATAATGCATTCCAAGGACTTCGGAATGCGACCTGATGTACAGATGAAAAATTTATAGTTGGCGATTGCCAAATTTGGGAAAACACTATATCATCATCTACTGATTCGATTGAAATACAGCCGCTAGCCTAACTTCCAAAAAGTAACCTTAGCTCTTGCTCCGAAAGACAGAAATGTCGACACAGCGTTTTCTTTCTTGCTGCATGTGGTACCCCTAACTGCGATGTAGAATAGTTTCGTGTAACATTACTAAAAACAAACTGAATCTTCTCTGTTCAGCGTAGAATACACCGACTCTCAAAACATGCTATAGTGAATTTTAGACAAACAAAATTCGGTGCCAGTGATAAACAATATCGAAGAATTGCTCTCGTTGTGGCCAGTTCTGAGATGTTAGATCCATATTTGCGCAATATTTCGGCAGAAACTACTTCAATGATCGTTTCCCGCGTTTAAAACAATGTTACTAAGTATCTTCGTAAGTCACAGCATGCATATAGCTTTATATTTAGTTCCGTGGTCGACTATGCATGGGGAGTAGAAAATGTCGCGTGAGCCAACTGGTAGAACAAGCCTTTTATTTTGACACTTTCCTGCAATTGGTATTAATTTTTTCCCTCTCCTTTTTTCCTTGTAGTGCACTGATTTCCCCAAATAAACGAGATTTATGTTTGTTAAGCATAGGTTATTTAAATCTACGAAGTTTCAAAGCATACCTTTAAAATTGCGTTTGTGGTCGATCGTTTTTACCTTAATTTACCTTAAGTCAACGAAACCAAGCGCTGTTACGTTCACAAAAAGAAGCTTACATTTTGAAAGATTTCCTTCCTGGAAGTTGACTTGTTCCATTAATTCTTGTCAGGATTTTGCGGCGCGAAATTGACTCTGCATTAAAATATACTCAATGAAGAATTAATCTTTATTTAACCTCAGGCGGAAAATTTCCAAATAATCTACACACCAAAACCTCAGTTGCCGGTATATTTTAAACCACTCTTTATCAATCGAATTTCGCTACGTTGAAATGAAATTGAAATTGCAATCTCTATATCATCAACAATATTCCATCAATATGACAATAAAAAGGCAACTTTGTTTGTCAACACAGCACAAAACCTTGCAACAGCTTTTCCGAGTTTTTGTCGAATCTCTTTGTTTTACAAATCACTGGGAGGTTGGTTTAAACGTACTGTTGGCAGCACAGTCCTAAAATCGTGTTGTTTGCCCGACACGCGAATCGTGTTTGCTTTCGATTCTTTGCGCTCGTGTGCTGTACCTGCTCTTATGATAGAAACACCGGTCATTTCGATGAGCGGTACCCGTCAACTCGTGCAGTTTATTAAACATTTTGTCTTCTTTGCATGCAACCCTTTGCCACCGCTGTTTTGAGAATAATAGATCTTCATTCAAAGGGCAAACAAAGGGCAAACAACAATTCACCGAAGAGAAAACAATTGTCGCGTTGCCTAGAAAGCCACATTTTGCATTCAAATCAGAGCCTGGGAAAATTTGGCGTTGCGATTCTTCCACGAACTCCATGTTGGTAAGCTATTTAAGGCTCAGACATAGGAAACCGAAGTTGTACTCCAAGTTACGTTTAAACTTCGTTGTGGTTAGATCGAAGCCGGGTAATTTCAGTCTTCCATTTCAGAAAGTACAAATCTATTTCTTTCCCCTAAAATTGTCACATTAACCTCGCAACGTCAAAGCATTTAAGTCTTCGTCAGACGTAATTATTGTTGATAAACTTTGTTCTACATTAAAATGACTATTGGGTCTTTTTACCTAAACATTTTTAAATTTTAACGCGTTTATTCTATCAGGCTTTCTTGTACCAGTCGCACTTAAATTCCCTTGCGCGTGCAGAAATAATTAACGAAAACGATGCATCAGCTTAAATAGTTTGACATCATGGGCAAGATTTTTCTTTTGTTAAAAAGTAAAGCCCACTCATTTTTCCTTTGACTGAGAAGGGTCTTTAAGTTTGTCACTTGATTGATATGCAAATGCAGTTTCCTAACACATTCATTATTGAAAAGTGTCAAATGAATGAAACTTTCTGTAGTGCTCTCCAAGCAACACTTACAATTGCTATTATACGGTATCACCTGCACTGAAATTCTATTGAACGTTTTTATTCCCGCGCAGTCACTGCGCGGGAATAACTTTCGTAATTTCCTAGATCCTTGAGTCTTTTCACACTAATTTTCACACGCTGGAGTTTTCTACTTTTTCGTTTTGGATGAATTTTTTTAAACGAAAATCACGACAATCAATTTAAACAATCTTAGCACTCCAAATGGCATTTCACCGACAGGAAATGCTATAAATATATACATTTACCTATATATATATGTATATATAGAAACACATTTGAAACTGGATATTTATGATCGTTCGCATATACTCAATAAGGTGTTGAAGAAATTCACTTTGTGTCTTTAGACCATTTGCGGTACGTTTTCACACGCTTAGAGATAAAAAAGTATTAGGATCAAATTTTTACACTCCGTGAAAATTCAGCCTAAAGTTCTTAACCTCTTTACCTCAAAATTGAAAAAGAAATTTGAGTATGCTTAATGAATATGAGAGACCCACTCAGAATAAAAATTGAAAGTGGCGACTCCAGTCGCTTTTAGGAAAGCTATAATCTGATTAAATTTTAAACGCAAGAAATTGAACGAATTTGGAAATCAAGTATTTGCGCGAGCCAAAACTGGTTACATACCTTGGTATCTTTCGTAAGTTTTTCTTTGCCAGACAATTTTCTTACTCTTTGCCAACTTATATCTTCTCTTAGAATCTTTTGATACGTAAAAGATTGCACAAACCACGGTCAAAAAATCAGATTTCTCCGGAACGATTTTGATCGCAACACAAACAAGGCCTGTTTCCGAATGTTGGTCTTCTGGAGGGGGCCAGATAAACTTCAGCAAATTATTCCCCCTTGCCAGATGTCCAATAGCTTTCATGATACATTTACATAGATCAATTAACACTTTTGTAAAGCTTTCTTTTATCCAATTGTTTGCATGGGATGGTGATCGTTATTACACCTTTCATATTTTTCCAAATAAACTCCAATTGTACGATATTTATAATATTCTGGGTGACTTGCCCTCGAGATGCTTTCCGTTCGCGCCAGTTGCTAATGTCATTCAAACCTAGGGTACTCCTGTAGCATATATCAATTCCATCAATCATATATCTCGTCCCAAATTGAATTTATCGTTAAGTTTGTTTTCAAGTTGTATGTGTGGTCGTCGCATTAATTAAACTTCTAGTTCGGCTTTAGGCAATTACGCTGCCCCGTAAAATTGGGAGAAGTTAATTGGAGTAATCTATTTTAGCGTTATCTAACTAAGGTGCTGCTCTGCAAGAGAAATGATTGGGCACATTCAACAATTACAGGTTGTAAAAGGTTCCTTGAAGGCAAAGAACTTTAATTTGCGGCTTGCTACGATTATTCAATTGGTAAATTACTTAAGGAAATCCAAGTCAATTTTTATGTATTATTAACTCGAAGAGATTTCTGACAATGAGACATCACTGTGAATTTAAAACAAGGACGAGAGATCTGACAGAGAGATAAGGGTAATTCTTCCCGTTTCTGATGTTTAGGCACAATTTTGCGAAGATATCTTTTGCTTAACCTTTCGGCGGACAACCGTTCTCTTTCCAAGACATCATGTAGTAGGGAAAGTTCTTGACTTTCACGTTTTTCACGCATAACTGGTATATTGACCTCCGCTAAAATATCAGTGTGCGCAAGAATTTTTTTTCCGTATTTAACAGTACGTTCCGTTTGGTGTTTATCGGTATATGAGTCAAATCGGCAGGTTTACACTCGCGCTCTGAAAACGAACCGACATTGTTCGTTGTTTTGCCTTTGTTACAAACCCACAAATCGTACTGCAGCTGCCTTGACTTGATATGAACGTGAACTTGGCGAACAAAGTGTGATCTTTGGAGCTCTGCTTAACTCGTGGGCAACTGAGTAATCTGTTGCGGTCAATTCCGATTCGCTTGATTTCATTTAAAAGGAAACACTTTGTAACTTTATTTCCGTCCGTTACAGCTGCCTCCTGAAATCGTGTTTATGAATTCTCGAGCCATTGACGCAAAGCAAATTGCCGGCAGGCTTCCATTTTCTATATTTAACAGCGTAAGAGCAGAATGACGCAAAGTTGAACTGAGTGGTTTGTATTCACTCATGACCAATCAGGGGTGTAATTCCTCGATTAATTTTGACACCCACGCTCGTCCACCTCTCTTGTTTACGGTCTGCCTTGGCGAGACGGAGTGCACACGTTAATTTAAAACATTCAAAAATTGAGACCTACTGAACTTATCAGCTGCTAAGATTGTTAAAACCCTCGAGAAAAGTTGTTAAAGAATGGGGCGATAGAGCAGAACTTATTAAAGCATTAGGTCGCGCAGTGGTCGCCCAGCACGATTTTAACAGATGTATTTCATCCGTTTATTAAGGTTCTCGTCGCGTGATCGCCACCGGCGATGTTTGCAAAAATGTGATAAACCGTGCGTTTTCAAGACCAAGCGCACGTTTTTTGTTACAAATTTCGTTTTAATTGTGAGATAAGTAATGAATTGTTTCCTAAATGGGGCTGGTTCTTCAATAAAAAGAACCCGAACAGGGTTGGCGATTTCCTGTCGCACCCGCTTTGTTTGTTTTTAATTGTTCCTATCAAAGATGTCATCTCTTAGAGAGAAACACAAAGACGACTACAGAGCGAGCTTCGTTGAAAAGAATGTTTAGATAACTCTCCACGCAGCTGTGCCTCTAAAACACGAGAGGTAATAAGTGCGAGCAGCTGGTCTTGAATTCTCCTCTAAGTGGATTTGTTTCTTCAGTTAAATAATGGAAAACCTGCTTTCTGAAAAGAAGAATCACTTCATTAACGCTATTAGCATAGGTGTTGATAAGTGTTTTTTAAGTTTTTTTCCTATTTAAACGCAAATAAATTACTTAAGTAGTATTCTACAGAACTTTCAGACGCCCCCCTTTTGGCGTTTTCTCGCGAAAATTCGGACACTTTTTTTCTCACCAGCGATAAATCAGCCCGTTAAATAAGGAACGTATTCACGGGCTGATATGAAATAGTTATCAACCCATAATAGCTTGGTATTGTAATTTCATTGTAGTTATTGTTAACATTCCATGCGGTTTTCGCAAGAGAATTATGTAGTTGTGTTTTAGCGCAGGTAGAAATGCAGAGACACATTGCAAAGTCATGGAGCATTGTGGGTTTGAAGCTGTTAGATCTTAAGGTTAAAAGCTTTGGGATTTTTTTTCGACGTGGTTTTGCGTGAGTCGGAGAGATCAAACATTTGTACACGCTGTGAAATTCATTTAAAAGGCTGTTAATCGTTTCAGCGATATCTTCGCGAGGACTTCATGATAGCTTGCAAACGATCTGATGAAATCTCGCGTCCAAGTGCGCCACTGAATCATCTTCAATAAATCCGCATTATCCCGAGCAGTTTTTTCGCGGTTGGCGTGTAAATCACAGTTGTTTATCCGCTTTTGGTCACTCCTCATGGGGTTAAAGCACTATAAACAACGTTTCTCGCGTACGAAATTAATTTCCAATACTTCCGATGCACGCGACTTGTGAATAGAACACCCGGCTCTGACCGGTTAATCAGTGATACAATTTGAGGTGTCTGCCAATGTGGTATAAAAAAATGTGGTAAATATAGACTTCATAGCTGGTGGAATCCATATTTACCACAACATTCTCTGTGTTTAAACCACGAACCGCAAAGTAGTGTTCCTTTTCAATTATTCTAAAGCGGCTTAGCTAAATCCGAATCGTGCAATGCTTAAGAAAGTGTCAATCCTCGTGTTGCAAGTGTGGTACTTATTAGCCCACGGCTTGCTCTGTTCGTAAATCCCCGTTGTATAAAACCGGGTGTCATTTGAGACATACTCGGCTCCGATTCAGAACTGATGAAATGTAGTACTGTAAAGAATGTACAGAATCAATTTCATCGGCACAATGAAAAGAATATTAAACAGTCCGTAAGAACTTCGTATCACCCGGCTAATTACTTATTGAAATTGCTCAAGGTTTGACAAGGAAAGAGAATAGCGATTGGATTACCGAATCAATTTGGAGGTAGAAAAACAGGTCTACTGCTGTTTTGATAAATGACTTCTGTCGTCCATATAAACACAGAAGGAAAACAAATACTGTTGTCAGATTTTAATGGCGTCGAAGTACATGTCTATGCATCAAGGTATGTACTTAGGGTTAATCCTTCTTGGCCCTTCAGGCCAAACGCTCGAAAGCACGCACGGATGGAATGAAGTGCGAACTTTAGGCAGCTTTGAAACAAGTCTGACTGTAAAAAATACTCGTGGACTACTATTATCAGAAATGGCTAGTTTTAAATCCAGTCGTGTGTTTGACAAAACAATACTTTCGTGCCAAGCCTGTTATTAAACTTGTTAAGGAGTTTCTAGAAAAGAGTCCTACCTCAAGTTACAAGGTCTTTCACAAGGTACTTCCCGTATGCTCTCACAGCGCGGTTCTCGTCGGCAACTGATCTGTTGCTTGCTATTCCTTGTGTCATTACTGGTTTGTTGTGGCAAAGTGAAGGTTTCTTTGCTCGCAGCGGGAATGACATCTGGACAAAAGGTGATTGACAAGCGGACTGGCCCAACGGGGATGACAAATTAAGAAAGAATGCGCAAAAATCAAATTTCTGATCATTTATTTTTAACGAGCATCACTTGTCTGTGAGTAAAGAAGTTGTAATCTCATTTGCTGGCTCATGAGAGTTAATGCCTGTTTCAGCGCGCGCAAAGCCAAACTTTGTTCCAAAAATACTTCCTCTTGTGCTTCCTTTTGAGTCGTTTGGAATCATTGCTGGTGACTCTTGCTAATCAGCACTGGATATCGATATCTAAGCCGGGTAATCGGCAAATCTGTAATCCTGGCAATATGTAAGATTAATATAGGGCCAAATATTGACCCCAAGATAGTCGGATGATTTTGTTGTAACACGTACTTGTCGGATTTGGGTAAATTTTTCACACCCCACGCGCGCTTTGATAAAATTAATCTTGATTTGGATAACTTGTTGTTGTGTTAGCCGCTTGGTCTTCATGTGAAATCCTTTGAGAACGTCAGGCTATTGTTCTTAGACAAAGACTAACACAATAAAACCCGCTTTCAACGTTAAGTCCTTTATGACAACGTTAACTAAGTTAATTATTCTGCTGATAGTAATGCACTTTCATCTGACATGTTGTAAAAGATTTCAGTTATCGGAAGTTGTAAGAATTACGTGATTCATCACTTCACCTAGACAAAGCGCTGATGTTGCGTTTTGAAGAGAAAGGAATCAAGCTATTGTTATAATGAAACTTCATTATGTCATGTCTAATCAATTTGTTCAGGGTTCACTAAACCAACAACCTTTATCCTTCCGTTCGTAAGAGTGTTCTTGGAACATGCATCATAAAATTCTAAATTCAGCTCAAAAGTTTATGCAATAGGAGCGATTAAGATTATCTTAATCGGTTAGGAAAATATTATGAAGTTGAGTTGCAGTATACAAGGGCCGCTAAAATTGCGTATTGATAAGTACAGCAACGGTTGTTATTCACGACTGTCGCAAGTCAAGGTCAGCATATGCTCTGCCGCAAGGGGTGGGGAGAGTAGAGGAGAGGGAGTTGAAACTCTCTTATTTATCATGAACGGGTACGTGCTGTCAAACAGGGTCTTGGGTCTTAACCCGAGTATGTAGTTTTACTGTATGAGGTTCTGAAAGAGGTTTCTTTCTTGATCGAAAGTGACCTTAACATTTCGCGGTTCCTTTACTGACAGCTCTTTAATTATAAATTTAGTCCTTAAAAATAGTAATGATCAAGGATAAGTGCAGTGTAGCTTAAGAATGTATGGTTTTGTCTCGGCGTAACAAAATTCAGTATATATTTCAACCTATGATTATCGAGCACTGGCGTGGCTCACAGTTCTGATTTGTAGCAACTCATTCCGTTCGATCAAATGAGTGAAATTTATCTTCATATATTACCATGGCGTCCAGGTCCGATTCAATCCGCGGGACTTCATTTTGCCAACAGGATTTAAAGATATCTGATGAAATCGCACAATCCAAGATAGGTCCAAAACCGTAATATCTTACAGCGTCCAGAGAGAGAAGCGACATAAATGCTACGCTTTCTCCTAATGACAAACGCAATTACATTTGTCTGAAAATGTTAGACCAGGATTCCTGAGGTTGATTTGCCACAGTTTGCACCAATTTTTGTGGTGTCGCAGAATCTCTGTCTCTGCTCGATCGAAGAGGACTGTAAGCAATCTTCTTTTTCAAGGTTTATTTACGATGATCACCACGATCTACACTTCACAATCTAACGATCTTGACAATTCTGACGGTTTTCACGAGTGAGACTTAAACTACCATCTACAACACTACTCATAGTTCACTTCGCGTAACTAAACTAGTATTTTTCCTACAATCACGAGTACAGTTAAATCCCAAGCAAATCTACTGTAATAGCCCTATATTAAATTCTCATTTCCAACAACATGTACATGTTTTCCAATCCTTATTTAGCGGAAAACGCGTGCAATTACAACATCTCTCGCAAAGCAAATCAACCGCGGACTATGTTTACAAATTGTGATTGAAATCAAACACGCGCTCTATTACAACCATTCATAATTTCGTGACAATTATTTACTAGGATATTAATCAATACTTAATTCGTAATTTAACTTACATTCCTCGACGTGTGGTGAATATAATTGTGAAATCACATTGGGTCAGGTTAAAGATGCTATGTGACAGTTGTGCACTTTGAAACTTTTTGCTTACGATCTTCAAAAACGTTATTTGCAGTGTTTGTTTTTTTGCGTCTTATCCGAATTCCGGATAGTCTAATGGGGCACCAAAAACAGATGATGGATAAATGAATATATAAGTAGATAAACTGAAAATAAGTAAGTCAATGATTATATCCTTAAGTGAGAAAGAGCTTGAAATAATGAAAATAATTTAAAAAGAACGTAAGAAATGATGAAACGAGAAATGATGATGTAGGATTTTGATTCCAAGGGTTTCCTTGCAGATTACCAAACTTTCATTTGCATCTAATTTTACGTGCGTTATTGAAGACATACAAAAAACAACTCGGTGAGAAACGAACCCCCTGTTCTTTTTTAGACCCCTTCTGAGCCCAGCACGTTTGCCTCAGACTCCAGAATTAAAGACGTGCTGGGCATGACGTGTTTTGATTATACGCGCTAATTAGATGGACAGATTTTGTTTCTGTTGCCGAAGCATTAAGCAAAGTGTTTACACTAAGGTGATAATCGCATAAAGCTTTTATCCGGTGTTTAAAATTTGCGTTAATGTATGGGGGATAAATTGAAAGATTACAGATATTTATCATCTTCTTCTATTCAAGCAGTGGAAAAGGAAACATAGGCCTGATATGGACATCTTTACAAAATCTGTTGAGCTATCAGTGTTGGGATTTTATTTAAGCTGTTGGTATTTTGCGTACATTGTCTATTCCAAGCTAATTATCGCTCGATATCCACCGAAATATTAATGTTTGAGTTGCCAACTCTGGCGCTTGATAAAGAGATGTGCTTGGTAACACCCTCGTCGTTAGATAGTTATCAAACTTTCCGAAGTTGTTGTTTTGGGTCAATACAATGAATCAATAGAGGTTATGTTCGCGGACATAACTATGTTCTGGGTCCGACCAAGAGGGCATTGAGAAAATAAAAACTGAAAAAAATTAATGCGAACAAATTAAACAGTCTGAACTATCACGCAGTCGTACAAGCGGGATAAAATGCATTTAAGTCCGCCAAAATCTCCATTTTATCCCCCAAAATGTGCCACAATGCCCGACAAAGTGATAATGAGGTTTGCATTGTCAAGCCCGAATACATACCAGTGGCAATCTTCGTGTGAGAGTTTCTATGAATGTTTGGCTCTCGTTGTACTATTATCACTTCAATGCATCTAGTTTATAATCCGCTTATCAGTAACAGCAGTTAACAAGACGGATTATTAGCAAAGGAAAAGTTGGGTAAACATAAGGGACAAATTGCTGACCCCTTTTAACCTTTTTCTCTCATAAAGAGACCGACACTCTTGCACTGACGTTTGCGCGCTAAATAATTAGGGATCGAATGTATAAATAGAAATTCAAGGCCTGGTTTTGATCAGTGATTTTGAAAACAGGTTTAGCTTTCATGAACAAACGGAAAGAGAAAGCTTAAACATGATGAACTCTTTGAGAGAAGCTGAATCTTACTTAAAAATCTCTCGCTGACTGTGTTAAGGACGGGATGTAGATCGGTGATTTTGATCAGTGATTTTGTAAACAGGTTTAGCCTCATGAACAGAAAGGGAAAGCTAAAACATGAACTCTTTGAGAGAAGCTGAGTCTTATTAAAAAACTCTCGCTGACTGTACTAAGGACGGGATTTAAATCAGTGATTTTGTAAACAGGTTTGGCTTTCATGAACGGAAAGAGAAAGCTAAAACATGAATTCTTTGAGTAAAGCAGTCTTACTGAAAAAAAAAAAAAAACTCTCGCTGACTGTGTTAAGGACGTAATGTAAATCCAAGATAATACATTTGAAACAATGATTCATTCAGAGCTTGGCTGTAAAGTAGGATTTAAATCCAAGGGATACCTAAAAAATAAAAGGAGAACCGTGGTACTGCGTCGATGAAGGGTATCACAATATAAATTGCTTTTAATTATCAACTGAGTTGATAACGTAAATTGGCTTCCGTAAAGAGTTTATCAAGTTGTCGTTTGGAGCGTTAGCGAATGGCAAAGAGCTATCAATATATATGAAGCAAGTAATCTGCTGATAATTCCGCCGGTCTTCGCCCGTAAGAAAAACCTTCTGTTATCTTTCTCTTAAGTGATTTAATCCTCCTTTTCTCTTCCCTTTTCTTCTCTTTGCACACGTTAAAGCAAACTCATTCTCGAAACCCCTACTGAGAGCCACGTTCTAATATATTCCATGCAACTGGTAAACTGATGATCTTTGACTAATTAATTCTAAGCCAGTTGTGGGTGGAATAATTCGATCACGAACAGTACAAGCGACAAAATTCCACCACAAATCCGATTTTTTGACAAACTAAGTGTTTGGAAGCGTTGAAGAAAGTTCCGGCCGTTTTGAGTCCATTCTGATCTCGACACGCTCAACTGATGGATGAATTTTCCAAGTGAAGGGAGTGATAGTAGGCGGCCTCTTGCCTCAGATCTTATTGTGGAATTGGAAAAAGCGATATCGCCCTAAGGTACGAATGTTTCCCTTTGAGTTACCGAACGTCCATGCGTCAATACACGGCCTACGAAATTATCAGTAATGGCTTTCACGTACCTTGATCACCTTTGTTACAGTGTTTTGAAAGTGTGCTGCGCTTACAGTTTGAGCTCTCCATAAATTCCAATTTCATGCCTTCTATTTCGCTGGCGAATTTAAATTCACTTGTTATTACAAATTTTTTAATTTAGTGGTTGAGTTTGTAGAATTTTAGCAGTCTTTCTGTTGGTTAAATTATACCGTAGAACAGTAAAACAATCGTCAAACGTTTTGATGCACCGCTAGTCTAGGTGGGCGACAGTTAATCAATGCAAAATATGTTCCACTCTCCTCTTGATTAACAACTGAACCTACGTGTAATGCGCCACTTAATTATAGACGTTGAGTTTCTTGGACCTTTATTTGATCATGGGCGTTATTTCCCGAGTCTTTTTTTCGCAAAAGGGTCAATTTGTTTCCCAAGAAAGCATTATGTGCTTGTATTCTATAAATACTTCACACGCCACTTCTATATCTCCTATTTGCATGGCGCGCACATAACGCAGATGAATCAATCATTTTTCGGTCGCTCTCCGCACAAATAGTTGTTTTTTGAGTCAAAAAGCCGAAAGTAGAGTTTCTAAAACTCACGTCATGTATGATCTAGATCTGGATATATGTTTTTTATGAAACGGTTTGGTGTGTACTATCGCTAATTGTTTTTTTCTCAGAGGGCACGGTAACGAATCCTGCAATCTTATTGGTTCTTAGCGCGGTCCGTATTTTCCTACATATCTGACATCTCTGCCCACGGGCAACGGTAACGCTTTCGTGAGTCTCCGAGTACATCCCAACTTTTCTCATAATATAACGAAAGTGAAAATACTCAGCGGTATGTGTAATAAGATGAGCCCGTAGGGCGAGTCAAAATACTAACAACGACGAAAAATAATCAGCGATACGTCTAATAACTTATTTATTATCCAACTGCTTTTTTCTGCTGAGTCTTCAGTTCTGCTCATTTCTGATAAGGCGGGAGAGGCAAAGTGGATAGAGAAGCGTAGCGCGCGCAGCCGACTGGTTAACAGGTTTTTTTTACAGTACAAAATAACCGTACAATATTGCAGGAAATTTGTGCATTATTTGTACTCTATTTAGTACAGTCGGATAATAAGATGTTTTATTGTCAACATTCACTGTTTGCGAGCAAAGTTCTTGATGTATGGTTCTGATACTGCGATCGGTTCTTTCTCCCAAAGCTATTCCGATGATTCACTGTGGAAGTCGATTCATAGGGATAATTCTGAAGAATAATTAATTGTATTTGAAAATGCAAGATTCACTTTTATTTACAACTTAAAAGGATTTCTGACGAAAGCTCTATCGGTAGTACTGAAAAGATAAAGAATTCCCTTGGCTTGTTATTTATCTCCATATACACCCAATTGCAGAAACATTGTCGTTGGAAAAGCATTTATACAATTTTCCTCCACCCCATACCTTTTCATATTACCATTTTGTTTCTATGGGCTTTAGGCATCCACGGAGAAAAATACTTTAAAGAGAAAGATGTTTTTCATCTTGTCATGAGCGTGGGATAAAGAAAAAATTCTAAGTTCCCATGAGGAATCGAACCTCAGACCCCCGGTTCCGCGTTCCCATGCTCTACCACTAAGCCACAGACTCTAAGGTGAGCGAGGTCTATTACGAAGTTCATATGACACGCGTCCTGCATACTGCTAGGATCAGCAATGTCGATAGCGTCATGTTTGAAAAGAAAAAAATCACCATCTCTCCTATTCTATTTACAAACTTGACGCCATGATAACAGTTTTGTTTGACTTTTATTTTCTGAATGGAGTAATCTTGCTTCCATGTTCCTGAAATTGTACCGGGATCACGCCACAAACATTTGGGTTGGCCACTGACATATTACTAGACTGTATTGCAGGCCACATTGAACATGGTAAAGAATATGACGTATCGCAAATGTTTTAACTAGACCGTGTCTTATACACTTTAGAGAAGGAAGTGATTACGGCCGAACATACCGCTCGAGTGAGTTGTAAATAGCAGAAGAAATAGCAATCTTTTTTATCCACGGTAGTTGTATCGTTTAATTCGATCATTTTGTGTATTTGTTTCTTGAAATCTTTACGAATACACTACGGGTCATATGATGTATATCCAATCAGTTATGTCCATTGTTTCGAACGATTAAAAAACAAATGCTTTACGGAAGACTGTGTACGTGGGTTCCATAATCCTCCCATGTAGACACAAAATCGTTGCAGTTCAGTGCTGCAAATCAAAGACTTTATCGTTCCATTCGTTCCATTGAATATTTGTATGAGTTAATTGCACCAACATTTCGGATCCACAGGGGTTTTTCCCTTTTTCCCAAACAGGAACTTCTTGCTTTTGAAGCGCTCACGTGACACAACGAGTTAAAAATAAATACATTGTTATGATAACACGCAGTTAATTTTTCAATAATAAGCTATTGGATGAGGTGGATATTTCATTTTAAGCTGCGGTTAAGGTAGGTTCTTTTAAAAAAATTTTGATCTTTTTTATTACGGCTTTATGACTGACACTGTTACTCAACTGCGATTTATGTTTAAGCTAAGTTCTATCTTTTCGAATCTTCACTGAAGGATCTTGAACTAACTGCATCAATTTGTTTGAGTCGGCAGGAAAGGCATTCATTAAGTAAAATATGTATGATTCCTTCTATCACGTATTCATCTAGGCTAGCTTTTTGTAGAATCTCTGAAAAAAAACTCCGATGCGCAAAAAAAATGGCCAAGAAGAACTCGTTGGGCACTAAGGTCGGTTATTTCTCATTTTAAATACAGCTGACACCTGTAACATGATCGTTTTGGCCGCTGGCTTACACTTTTGGCCGTCAAATCATGCTTCCGATGCACAAAAAAAATGGTCAAGAAGAACTCGTTAGGCACTAAGGTCGGTTATTTCTTATTTTAAATACAGCTATCCAGAAAATGCAAAAAAAAATAAATAAATAAATAAAATAATTGTGTCATAGGCACTTTAAGCATTTTGCTGGATATTTTGTCACCAAGATACACTGAACAAATTCGAACCAGTCTGGATTTCGCGCGATCATCGCCGGGGATAAAATAAGCCGCACCAATTTGCTGTGAATGCTTCATCTTCTCAACGTCAAGTGCCCGATTATTATGAGGCACCCAAATACGAAGACTCACAACAGCTACCTGGACAGGTTGCCCTCCCAACGAAGCTTTTTACACCCAAAAAGACCTCGGCGTTTGATTACGATCTTTTATGAGGTCAAAATCCACCGCAAACCTTGTCAATCCTCCACCATTAGGTATCTTTGCAGACAGAAGATATGTCTCGACAGAAAGCGAAAGTTACAATGGTCGTATACTAAACTTCTAATCATAGCATCAACCCTTCCGGTAATTACAGCCGGAAAGTTAAAGGCCAATAGACTGCAGCGCTTACCAATTCTTTTCATGAGCACCTCAGAAATGTTTAGCGAAGGAGTTACTCTACCTCAAAGTTTACACTTTTGTCAAAGTTTCATTAACTATGGAAAAAATCTAAATCTCTTAGCTTCGTTGCTTTCTCATAATTGCGTTAATAAATTATTCACCTCGAAATAATCTAACAAAGTGAAGGAACTCTCAGTCCTGAGATCTAGCCAAGCTGACCCTTAAAAGTTAAAATTCGCGATTCAAAAATTGACCATAAGGTACAGTGCTGAATATTCATTTGTAAGATCGATGCACTTAACTAAAATCTGTTCACCAAACCTTCCAAAGAAAATTGATCCACTGTAATGGAAGACTGAGTCCCACACGAGAGATCAAAGCGAAGAACGCTTGTCCAATTTAGGTTAACGAAACTAAACTCACTTATAAGTACATGCTTTTGTGGACGTTGATGCTGTTTCGTAACGGAGTAACGTCTGGGGACTAATTTGGTTTCAAGAGAAACTATTTACACGTCTCCATCCAGAGAGTTTTTGAAGCCTAAGTCGATTTCAATATCAGAAGCGAGTATTTACTTTAATACAAAGATTCTCAAGCCCTAACTGAGCTTTGTTTGATCACGGACGCTTCGTTTTTTCCATATTGTAGACCATAATGCCGAGAAGAGTTTTAGACAACTGAGTCATTAACATCTACGTCACAAGACGCTTCTAGATCAAATATCGAGTGATCTATCGCTTACCAGATTCTGAGGTGAGCACCTTTAGCACTTGTAATGATGGCTTCCAAGTGTGATGTTACTACTTTGAATAAAGATTGGCATTCACAACACACAATTTCGTGGTGGTATTTGAAGAATTCGGAATTCAAAGAAAACGAAGAAAGAAATTTGGAAAAGTACACCTACAAAGTGAATCTCCGATGTTTTTGTCCATGATAATAAATTTGTAATCTGGCTTACCTGATTCTACCCCTTTAATCTCGCAATTGCTGAAAAGGAAGAGAAACGATAAATACTTTTTTTTCAATGAAACGATACGTCTCCACAAACCAGACTGACAACATTTGACAAACCGTGACTTGTATCAATTTAATGAACACTACTCGATCGTCCAGATGATCGCAAGAAACGCGTGAACGAATACTATTCTTGAGCATAAGCAATTCACCATCTTATATCTATGTATTCCACTCTGTTCAGGTGGAAAATCTGCTTTCAGATCAAATGATGGAAACACCAGAACAGCCAACCTACCAGCAGGGAGATTGTGCACTTCACAGTGGATCAAGTTCGCCTACCCAGCAACCAGAAGTGCAAGATGCACCACCATCAGCAGATCGCCATGTGGGGTATCCAGCACAAGAGAGCGATCAGCATGTGCGAGGTAGTTACCTGGTGCAAGGGACGTCAGAACTGCGGCTGAGGGGATATGATGATCAACCTCGATGTCAGCTGCAAACCAACGAATCCCAAGTAAATTGTGTGAGCTCCCTCGGTGAGAATGATCAAGCAATTCAGCAAAGCTGCACTATGCAAGAGTTGCGATTATGGGAAAAGGAAATTGCTAGGCAAGTAACTAACTTTAGGATTACGAAAATTTTCCCTTCACAGAATGATTTGGTGTAACAGGGAAAGGATTAACTGTTGCTGATCAGTGAGAGTTTGCTTACGGGCCTTGCTTATTAGCTTTTTCATTGGAAACCAGAACCTTTTTTTCCTTCTACAGCTCGATGCTTAGCCGAAAGACTTCATTTCAGAACTTAACTGATATGCTACTTTTAAGTAGGGCCAAGCCGCAAAAAGCCACAAAGGGAATGAATGCAAGAGATGCATTTTTCATAGCAAAGATTACGGAGGTTAGACAGCATCGCCATGTTGATGCCAATGGAGGCACGACTGCTGTTTTCACCCGTCCCGTCAAAACTGATCGTTATGGATACAAGCTTGGCTTGAGGATATACTTCAATGGCGTCGGTGATGGAAGTGGCAGGTTTGTCGCCATCTTTGTGCACATGATGATGGGAGAGTATGACGACTTTGAAGTAAGGTGGCCTTTCACTCAGAGGATCACACTGTCCATTATAGATCAGAGTGGTGCCGAACGCCATTTAAGCAAAATCCTTCAAGCACAGCCCGGCATGATAGCCTTTCAGAAGCCAACAGAAGTGATCAGTCGTACGGGCTGTGGTTTTGCAAATTTTGCTTCCATAGAGCAAGTATTTAGTCATGCTTATGTA